GACACTCAGGAATGGGTGATCATCCTTTCCCCAGGGTATTGAGGGTTGAACCAATAACACACAGTTGGCTCCTGCAGGAAATAAAAATCTCTACCCCTTCTAAGAATGGCACAGATAATAGACACCTTTATAATGTTTCCCTTTAGGCACTGGAGTATAGAGTTATATGTTTCAGACAAGCAAAAAGCATGCCAGTGTGTGCTAAGCTGACAGTAAGCTCTGTAAATGTAATAAATTCCTTAATATCAAAGTATAGGAAGCAAGAAATATCCTTTGTCAAATGCATCAATGCCTTAGGAGGGTCAGGCCATGTGCATCACATTGTAGGGGTGAGGATTTAGTGTCTGGTTGTAGTCTCCTCTAGCACAGAGGCTACTGGCATCTCTAATAGTGAGCTCCAGTATCAGGCCAATATCATGGGGAATGAGGAGCTGGGGTATCTTTTTTAAGTGAATATCCATTTGTGTGGGATAGGCTGTGTTTTTGTCATACTATGGTGTAATTTCAGCAAAGCCAAACCACTTGTAATGATCGAAGGCAATGACAGGCCTGAGATTTTTCACTCACAGATATATATATATATATTTTTTTTTTTTGGCCTGAGGTGGGTTTGAACCTGCCACCTCCAGTATATGGGGCCAGCGCCCTACTCCTTTGAGCCACAGGTGCGGCCCCAAAGATATTTTTTAAGTCAGGGAGCTTTGTGAGTGCACAGCAAAGGTGATGTCACCATTTGTGATATGAGTGTAATTGAACCAAAGTGCCAAAATTTGAGTGGCATAATGAAGGCCCCAAAGAAGAGATACATGAATCTATGATCTCCCAATAGCCCAAAGTTTGTCCAAATGGGAGATGACTTATACTGTTGTTATAAATCAACAACATATAACCTGATTTGAGTGTTTAATTTTAAAAGCTGTTTGGGGGCTGATGTTTGTAATAAAATTATTGGTGGCTGAGGTTGCACTCCAGCATCAGCCTGTAGGTTAGTCCTCTAATTCTGCCAATTACTGTGGACCTTTGATTCATTTCCCTGGGTGAAGGAAAATCCAGTGACAACTTTGTGATGTAGGGCTACTGTTGATTAAATCCAATGGCATGTGGGCCAGGGCATTTGATGGGTTTGTTGAAATCAGTGACTTCCTCGGAGGCTGCAGGCCTCCAGATCACAAACCATGAATGTATCCAGATCTGTAGTAATAAGACCAGCAGTGAACAAAATGGTGTTCGGCTACACTTGATGGGATTTTGTTGTCTGATATTGATTTTTTCTTCAAACACTGCTATGATCAAGGAAGAGCTGACTGGTTCCATCATTTTTAGGTTATAGTACTGAATTTATTGTTATCTCTCAAGGTGATTTTTTTTAAATTTTCTAAGTAGAGTTCTCCATTTCCTGTATTGATGTTCAAACTTTCTGTGGGAATGACCCAGGAAAACTAGTTTTAATTGTATAAAGAAATCAGAATGGGAGCCCAGGTAAGTTTTCCATCCTTTATGACACAAATATGGAAGAAGTTGTTTCTTGGGTGAAGTTTAGTTCACATGGGTCCCATGCCAGATGGGCAGGATGCTGGAAAACAGGTAAATCTCTGGTTAACAGGAGCCAAGAATGTATGTGCCCATGAACTGACCTTACGGGATGGGGATAGGATTGAAAGCCAAAAAAATAAGGGAAGACATTATTATTTTTTATTTTTTACTTTTAGAGACAGAGTGTCACTTTATCACCCTTGGTAGAATACTGTGGCATCACCTAGCTCACAGCAACCTCCAACTCCTGAGCTTAGGCGATTCTCTTGCCTCAGTCTCCCGAGCAGCTGGGACTACAGGCGCCCGCCACAACACCCGGCTATTTTTTGGTTGCAGTTCAGCCAGGACTGGGTTTGAAACTGCCACCCTCGGTATATGGGGCCAGTGCCCTACTCACTGAGCCACAGGCATTGCCCAGGCAAGATATTATTAAAGGCTCTCATCTATAATGAGACTGAGTGGGGGAAACATGTGATGATATAGTAAAGGTTATGGGAAGAACTTTAAAAGATGGATAGAAGGGAGAGTCAGCAGGCACCTTGAATCAAGAAAGATTAAGGCCTGGGGCAATATCAGATCCTATTCTG